AAGTTTGCAAAAGAAATGACAAAAATCATAGCAGAACTAAATGAAAAAAACCAACACAAAGGATCAATGAAACAAAAAGTTGGTTCTTTGAAAATATAAACAAAATTGATAAACCACTAGTTAGATTAACCAAGAAAAAAAGAGAGAAGATCTAAATAAACACAATCAGAAATGGAAAAGGAGACATTAAAACTGATACCACAGAAATACAAAAGGTCATTCGAGACTGTTATGAATAACTATATGCTCACAAAGTAGAAAACCTAGAGGAAGTGGATAAATTCCTGGAAACATACAACCTCCTGAGATTGAACCAGGCTCCTCTATTCTGAAGTCCAGAAATGGGGCCAACAGGGAGACTCTCCCCTCCCCTCCACTCTATCAGGGGTTACCTAGGAGTGAAACCTACCGACCTACCCTCTACAAAGGAAGCCTAGTTCTTACCCATCTCTTTCTGTGTGTGAGTCCACATGATATTCTGTCAACTGGGTTGTTTCTACCTGAGGTGCTGCACTTTTTACCCCCACCATCTATTCACTGGGAGTGTTCTTTCTGCCCTTCCTCCACCCATCTCCCCCATACCTGTTGTCTGGAAGGGACCAATTTTACCACTTCCTTCCTGGTACAAGCGCTTACAGGTCCATTCTGTTGAGGGGAGAAGAGGTCTTCAAAAGGCTTCATTCGGCATGATCATCTTCATTGCTTTTCCCTAGGGCTACTCTTACTTGCCTTAAACAAAAGAAAGCTGTTCCTGTGGGATAGTTGAGGGGTGGGGGTCAGATAGACGGACTGCTCCCTCCCCTAAGCACTGCCTCACTCTCCTTCTCCCATTTCACTGTGGAACCTGACAGCCACCTCTGCCCAGGGTGTGCAACAGAGGGAACCGTGCGCCAGTGACTTAGAATAAGCCTCACTCACCACAGGTGTCCCACATTCACTCCAGGTGTGATCTTTCACAGCACAGGAACCTTCTAACATAGGCATTTAGTTTGTTTTCTGGCTAATTTGTATGCCCTGCTGTGAGAAGTGCATATATTTCTTCCAAACTACAGAAAGGAAAAAAAGATCCCACAGGCCACCAATAAATCTGGGTAGAGTGATAAGCACTTTGCCTGGAATTGAGGTCCTGACTACACTAAAAACGACAGCTATGCTGTAAGATTGCCAGCACACCCCAGGGAATCCCAGGATGCACCTCCAGACTCAGGAAATACCAATGTCCCTTCCAGGTGTTGGGAATTTTGTTTTGTTTTGTTTTGCTCTATTTAAAATTAGGAAACAGACTAATAAATGGTTAAATGTGTTTGCCAGAAAAATATTCAAGTGTAAGGCAACAGTTTCCAAATTCCCTGCAGAGACTGGACACAAGGGAACATTGGCAGCCAAGCCTGTTATTAAGAAGGTCACAATATGCCATCTGTTCTGCGTGCACTTTACTGTTCAAGCATAACACCAACTAGGAGGTGGCTGCAATTGATTTTGCCTGTGAACTTAAAAGATAGCACGATGGTGGGCACTGCAGTGATTTCAGTAGGCTTATATCAACAAACCATGCGTCTGCCTATGAGATGGCTGGAGTTACGTGGGGAGACAATAGGAAAAAGGTGAAGCATTATTTTTAATCCTGTCCTTGCTTATAGCTCACGTGTAATTTGGGATGCTGCTGACTTATCTTTCTAATTTTTCTGTGCCTGGTTTTAGCCATCTATAAGATATGATAATGGCACTGCTTTCTTATAATTATGAAGTTAAGGCAGATAAATGAATGCCTTATTCTTTTATTCACAACTTAAAAATTTTTTTTAATCCATTGAAAAGTTGAAAGAATAGTACAATCAATACCTACCTATTCTCTCCTAGATTCATCAATTGCTAGCATTTTGCCACATTTATTAACATTTTGCTTTATCTCTATATACTGATACCCATATAGACTTCTTTGCTGGTGTATTGAGAGTACAGTAAACATATCCTAATGCTATATCCTTAAATACTTCTCCTATGAATAAGAATGTTCTCTTATATAACCACAGTACTATTATCCACTCAAGAAATTTAACATTGATAGAATAGTTTTTATCTAATATATAGACAATTGACTCACTTATTCTTAAAAATCTGTCAGGAAAGAGACTCGTTCTATAATCTATCCCAATGGTTAACACATCTCTCTCTACGACAGTGATACTTTATATTTTTGAAGCACTTTGAAAAATCTGAAGAAAGCTCTAGGCCCTATCTTCAGCAAAGTATCCATAAAGACATCTATACTAGTCAGCAACACATAAATCTTGAATCGCTCCAAGGTGTCCATGGTTTAATATTTTATCTAAATTCTCCTCCTTTGTATACACACCATTTAAGATCATGGTACTCAAAAAAGATGGAGAACAGTTTGTCTTCACCTTCCATCGTTACGTTTTGTGTTTACGAAACTTCATTTCAAGGAACTCAAAGTTTCAAGAAACTCAGAGATAGGTAGGAGGGAATTCGAATTATCCCCACTCTATTAAAAGAAAACTGTATCACAAATAAGGCTGACAGTTGTACTATGACAGACACCTAGTAGGTGGACTAAATGACTAGAATAGAAGACCTAGAAGAATACAGCCAAACTTGAGTTTCTCTGATTCTGCAAGAGCTGACACTCACAAGCCTATACTTGCTTTCTTGATGATTGACTTTTAAAAACCAGATACCTGTAACATTCCATTGAGGTTGGCACAACATGAAAGGACCTAATATCTAAGGTAGAATTTGTCGGCAGTTACTAAGATAGTTTCATCAATGAAATCGCCCAATTTGGTTACAGTTCTAGGACTGGGAAGTGGAAGTAGCGAGGTGGATACATGCTAGCAAATTAGGGTAACATTAAATGTCCTTAATTAAAAGAGTAGCTGAAACTGCCAAGGTCAAGTTGCACTGTGGGCTCTATTTTGTCAACCGTGAACTCACGAAGAAAAATCATTAGCTAAGCATACTCCAACATATGTGAGTTTACTAGTGTTCCTCTCCACAAATAGAGTAAAGAAAATAAGAGACATTCCTAGCTCAGTTAGAAAAATGACCAAGTTTGGCTAAAATATGGATACAAATGTGTAAATACTTCATGCTATGGTTTAGCACAAATCCTAATGTCTTTTTTTTTCTGTAACACGTCAAATGCCTCAAAATTACTTTCTGTAAAACTTTAATATTATGGAATCATATCATTTACTAATTAATGATTATCTAGCATAATTCTTGAAAGAAAGGGTAACAAAAAGCTAATTAAGCCTCTGGTGCCCTATGGGATTTACAGAAGTCTTACAGAGCTTTGAAAGGCTAAGAATTCACCCGGTATGGAAAAATCAGAGCTAATTGTGCAGGACAAACTTCTTATCTATCTGCTTTTATTATAGCTATGAAAACGTGTGTTATTCTTGAATGTAGTTAAATAATTGTTAAGCTTTTTGACTCTGACTTAAGATACCTTGCTTACAAAAAGTTTGTTAGCATTAAATAGCACACATAACAACAAATATTTGTCAAACGCTATTTCTCTCCCTTGACTCATCCCTAGCGACCAGAGTCTATCATATTATATCAAGGAAGACCCCCTTTCAGCATTTCCCCCCGAATTTTTAATAAAAATACACCACAGAACTCAACATTATTAGTCACTAGGGAAATGCAAATTAAGAACATCATAAGATATCACTTCATGTCCATTAGAATGGCTATAATCACAAAAACAGACAATAACAAATGATGAAGTGGAGCACCTGGAAACTTCATTCATTGCTGATGGGAATATAAAATAGGACAACCACGTTGAAAAACACTTTGGTGGTCTTTAAAAGTTAAACATAAATTAATCATAGCAACCAGCAATTTTACACCTAGGTTTTTTACCCAAGAGAAATGAAGACATATGTCTGCACAAAGACTTACACATGTATGTTCAGTGCAGCATGACCCGTAGTAGCCGAAATTGAAAACAGCTTAATGTCCATCAACTGGTGAATGAATAACAAAATCTAGTATATTCTACAATGGAACACTACTATTTGGCAATAAAAAGAACAAAGTACTAAAACAGCCACAGTGTGTATGAACTTCAAAAGCCAGACATAAAAGATCACATAGTATATGAGTCCATTTATATGAAGGCTCCAGTAAGGGCAAATCTAAAGAGAAACAAAAGAGATTAGTGGTTTTCTGGTGCTGCTGGTAGGAAAGGGGATTAACTGTTAAGGAGCATGAGGGGTCGTATTGTGGGGATGAAAATACTCTAAAACCAGACTGTGGTGATAGTTGCTTAACTTGCTATATTTACTTAAAATCATTGAACTGTACATGTGAAGTGGGTCAATTTTATGGCATATAAGTTATACCTCAATAAGTTGTTCAAAAATATACCTGAGCTTCTCAAGACCTTAATAACAATTTACAGCCTTGGAATTTCAGTATAGTCTTGGTTCCCTCTGATTCTAAGAGGTAATCTGTGTATCATAGAAGAATGTTCCAGACACAAAATGTTTACCCTCCCCAAAGCTCCAGAAGGTTTACTACAAATTTAACTTTTAGTCATAATTTCATCTTACCTGATTGATGCTTACTTTTTTAAAAATTATTATTCTTAATTGACACATAATTGTACATATTTCTGGGGTATAGTGTGATATTTCAAAACATGTATAATATATAATATGTAATGAGCAAATTAGGGTAATTAGCGTATCCATCACCTCAATACCTCAAACCCTTATGATTTCTTTGTTTTGGGAACATTCAAAATCCTCTCTTTTGGCTATTTGAAAATATAAAATAAATTATTGTTAACTATAGTCACCCTACAGTGCTATAGAACACCAAAACTTATTCCTCCCATATAGCTATAATTTTTGCTCAGATGTTAATGTGTGTCCAATTCATGGGTAATAGTCTAATTGGGAGTGTAGGAAATTTTATTCTAACACTGTGTTTAATCCTGATGTTCCCTCTTTATTTGCATGCAGGACTATTCCCTGATATAACCAGATCCTTTAAAACATCATTTGATGTCAAACATGGAGTGGTAAGTCCAACATTTCTCAGTGATCATTTCCCTGCACAGAGCTTAAGTGATTGCACACTACATATTACTCATTAAAAACAAAACAAAAGGGGTTGGATTTTTTAAAAATAGTACTCATTCATCAAACATTTATTTCTGAGTGTTTACTATGCGTGTAGCTTTCTATTAGGGGATGGGGAAACAAAGACAGCCAAGGTATGTCAATAATATATGTAATATATTGACAGTTAACAAAAACAGCTTTTCTCTGATTATAAAATTTCAAAAAATACAGAGAAGTAAAAACAAAACTAAAAATCATCTGAAATCCTTCCCCTTTCCTAGGGATAATCACCATTTCTGTTTTAGTGAACATCCTTACAAATGTCGCTCTATACTTATGTATACATAAAGGTACACGCACATACACACGCAGAACATGGGTGAGATCACACTGGACATTGTCCTCTGTAATCTGCTTTTTATCTCAATATCTTCATGTACATCTTTCAGTGTTAATAAGCATAGTTATTCGTCGTCTCCATTAATGGATACATAATATTCCTCATAATTTTAACATACCCCATATTCCTGGGCTTTAGGTTTTTCAAATTTATAACTATTATTAACAATGCTGTGATGAATAAAATTTAAATATACATCTTTGCAATTGTAAAATCACCTCTTCAGGGTAGATTCTCATAAGAATTCTTGGGTCAGAGGTATGCTTATTTTACACATGGTCAAATTGCCTTCCAAAAAATTGGCCTCATGCCCCAGCAGTGCATGAGAATGCCTGTTTTCCTATATTCTCTCTAACACTGGCTTTAAAAAATAATCTTAATGTTTTCCAATTTGATAGATGAAGATATTTCATTTTTTTCATTTAATTTCTTTATTAGTGAGGTTGAGCATCTTATGTTTATTAGTTATTCACAGTCTTTCACGAATTATGTATTAATAATAGGTGATTCCATTAGTCACAGTACTTATGTTTTATAACGTCACCATGAACACTAAATTAAGGATTACTGAACCATTGCTTCTAGAGGAAATATAAGGTTAAGTGCGTGGGAGCCTCCAATCAACAACATTTTTGTCAAAGGATCAATGTGTAACTTTGTTTTTATGTATGTTTCTGTTTAAAGATTCTTTTAATATATGTTGTTAACTCACGAACATTGAATTCATGGTTAACAGCCCTATAACTCATGCCAGAGTGGAGCTTAATTAACACACATCTTTTCTCTGCGAGGCACATCATAGCCTTCTTGTGCTTAGGAACCCTAGACAGCACTTCGGTGCTATACTTGGGGGCATTTTAAACAGCTAAATCACTAACAGAATGCATAAAAATGTGGACAATGTTGTACCAGCAAAAAGGACTGCAGAAAGGACACCTGATTACACTTAAGAGCTGAAACAAGAAGGGCTTGTTCACCTTGTTTGACCTCGACTGGGAAAGGGCATGTCAGGTGACTCAAATGTTTGCCAGTCTGTGCATGTCTGCAAATGACCTCATAAGTGCTGTGAGCATTGACTCTGGGGTTACAAATAAGTTTTAGTAAGTAGGTGGATTCACAAATACGAATCCATGAATAATGAGGATTCGCTGTGTATTTCCTTTGTCCATTTTCCTATTAGGGTGTTTAGCTTTTTCTTAACTGATTTGCATAAGCTATTTGCATATTAGGATTGTACTCTTTTGCCTAGCCTATTTCATAAATATTTTCCCCAATTTTGTCTTTCCATTTTACTGTTATTGTCTGTTACTACAGTCGTGGCTTTTTTTTTTTCTTAGAGACAGAGTCTCACCACGTTGCTCCAACTCCTGGGCTCAGGAGATCCTCCTGCCTCCGCCTCCAGAGTAGCAGGAACTGTAGGCTCCCGCCACCACACACCCTCAGCGGTGGCTTTTGACAGCCGCATCAAAGTGCTTTTGGAGTGGGAGGAAAGCAGGCGATAACACCAGAAAAGGAATTTTATTAGATTTCTATTATTGTGAAAGTGGTTGGTATTTATTTCCCTCCTTTTTTACAGGCACACCAAATTTGGGGCTTTGGTGATTTTTCTCGGGCACCTCCAAATTATGAAAAATCATGTAAGTCCCACTCTAAACTACTACTTTCTATCCATTTTCTTTCTTTATTTTAATCATGATCTTCATGTGATTTTTCATCCCTTCCAGAGTCTAAGGCCATTCAAGGCCTTTTGCATTCCTGCTCCCTCCCACCTGCCAGCCACTGTCACCTCGTTGTATCTCTCTTAACAGTAAGGAAGATAGGATGCAGAAATAATAGGAGGGAGAGATCCAACAGAGACATTTGCTACTCATGGTGGTGGCAGAGGTGGGGGTGTGTATGTGAGGGTTTGGAACAATTGATTAAAAAGAAGGTTTTGGAATATCAGTAAATTTTATTTATTCACACTATGGTAGACTCCGTTTGCCGGAAACACTTATGCATTGGCTGTCTCTTCCCTATAGGTGTGAGACCTAAAAAGCCAGCACTTGGGACCCTGATGAGTTACAGACTGCGAGGGAGAGGCATCCTAAAGCGTGTAAGAATCTTTTTGCTTGTCATCCAACAGGGGATCCCTGGAGGGAAGCCAGGAGGTGGGCTTCAGGGTTGCCTCTTCATGGCAGTGGGGGTGGTGGCCTGTGTATGTGTTTAGAGTTGGTATAAAAGTATTCCCTAATCTGTAATCAGGTGAAAAGTAGAGCTGTTCTGATAAGATAAGCAGTCTCCCTTAAAGCATCATAACAGTTTCTTGTGTAGATCTTTCCAGGCGTTTTAGAAACAAGCCTCAAAGAGGCTTACAGGGATTGGAATTTCTGTTGTATTGTCCAGCTTTCTATCAGTGATATCACTGAGTTGTTGGATTCTGCCTTTTGTGAAAAAGGCAGTAAATTCTCAGATTGTCCTGTCTGCCAGGGACCCACCCTGGGTGCCCAGTGTCGTGGGTCTCCCTCCCCATGTGCCTATGCTGCCACCCAGGGTCTACTGTCCCTGTTTTCCCTAATGTGGCCCTCCAGACCTGGGGTCTGTCTTACTTGATCAGACTTTCTGAAAACCCAGTAACTTTTAACACGATGTTAAAATGGGATTCTTCTGTCTTAGTGTTCATAAACTCTGAAAACAAACTGATTTCTGTCCTTCTGACTTCATTTATTATAAAAATCACAACTTTTTGCTATCCAATTACTTTTGTTTATTAAGGTTTCTCTTTAAATTGACTTAAAAAAAACAACTCAGACTCACCCTAAGTAATTATATTTCTGATACCATCAGTTTGATATGCTAGTTATGTGTATTAGGAAGAAGAAGAAAAAAAAAACAACCCTGACCTAGAGAATAACATAAAAAATGTTGTTCAAGTCCCACCTAACATCATCTCAAGGACCACCAGTTATATACATATTTCACTTTGAAAATGCTCGCCTATGGGCACCAACTAGCAATCGATCAATTTAGCTAATGGGACAGGGCTAGATGGCACACCTTGGTTCCCAGGCAGCTAGTCTATTTTAATGGTGGACCTGAAGAAATGGTGCGGTTTTTCTCGACTTTTCTGCCTCAGGACGTGGTAACTTTCCCAGGGAGCATGTGGGGCAAGGAAGGCAGTGCTGTGGCAGACAGTGGAGGGAGTTATTTGGGGGACATCTGAAGCTGTGCAGTCCACTGAAAATTACATTGTGTGGGCAGCCCGGGACCTCCCTTCACTATAGGGTTGCTGCCTGCTTCTACGAACGGTAGACGATTTCCTGAAAGTATATTTACTCCTAGTTGGCCTCCTGGGAGTTACTTGGGAGAATCATTAACTATTGTTAAATAAATAAATCCCTGTTCCTACATGGAGTTGTACTGGTGCCAAGCAATTCCATTGCCAATCAGTGTCCGCAGCTGTTCTCGGGAACAGTCGCCTCTCTAAGGTGTTTCCCCAGCCCTCCCTGAAAGTGATTTCTCTCTACTCACTGCAGCCTCTTTTTAAATCAACCGTTCCTGAAAATAAGTGACATTACACCCTGCTCTTGTTTGTGTCATGCAGTAACAGACTAATAGCGTACACACATACGCACACGCGCGCACCCCAACAATATGGGGCACTTTCTTGGGAAACCTTGGACCTGGAGTCCCAACCACAAAATAAATCATGACTTTTTATTTTTGAGCCAAGGCAAATCTTGTTATTTTTAACTGATGATGTATTTGGGGGAAGGAGAGCAAGCACCGAGATGTAAAAATGTGCAAATTCCTGCATCAGCAACAAGTAGGGATCGAATGAAATAATCAACAGTCGTTGACAGTATTTTTACTTTAAAAAGCATTTGCTTGGTGTTTAGCTCCCTTGTAACCATTCTCTAAATATCTATATTCCTGCGTCCTATCTTGAAGAAGTTGATGATGTAAACTGAAAAGCAGGGAATTTACACCCAGGAATGTGGGCGCTACAGGAATGGTAGGGAGTGAATCAGGGGCACCACAGCAGCAGCAGCCAGTGGGACCGAGTGACTGCAGAGCCCTTGTCCTTCTTCCTCTCCTGCTCATTGATCTGACTTTCCTGAAATAGGAAGGTTAAAAGAGACGGAAGAAAGCGCGGGAGCAAATCCCACCTGCTGCTCATGAATGATGTCTGGTCTGGAAGAGGCAATTTAATTCCCAATTCTGTGGAAAAGTGACCTTTGCGGATGAGCGAGTGTTGACAACCAGGCCATTTTTCTCCAGCTTCAGGGACAGTGCGATTCTGAAAGCAAGGTTGGCTCATCCGAAGACTCAGAAACTGATCAATACTCCGATTACGGCCAGGGAGGACCGTTATCGTTTTTTTAGCTGACTTGGAAAACGTAGCCACAAAGCTGGCGGCCCGGAGTTTGCTTGATGAACGACTGTTTGAGGTATGAGGGGCCCGGGGACATCTGGCCCTTGGCTGGTTGGCTTTCTTGGACACTATCCTGCGCTTCATGCCTCAGTATTTCTCCTTTCTAATTGGAGGAGGGGGACACAAAAGTTGTTACAATCATTAACTTTAGTTTTACTTTTCGTAAGTGCTTGCAGCCACATTTCTCTGCAACAAACACAGAAACGGTGTCGCGGCCCGGACCGTGGCGGGCTGCGGCGTCAAAGCGCCAACGCTCTGTGTCCTGGAGCCCCGAGGCAGGGCGCGGGGGCGTGAGAAAGGCTTCTTGGTATTCGCAGCAATCACCCGGAAGAGCCGGAGTCTTCCACCGCCAGGTTTTCCTCCGCGCTAGGCGCCGCCTGGAAGCAAATTGGCTCCGACTGTCGGGCGCGCGGGGGCGACCTGAGCGCGGCGGGCGCCGGGGCCGGGGGCGGGGAGTCGCGGCCTTTCACGCCCCGGCCCGCTCGGGAGGCTGCGCGCGCCCAGCCCCGCCCACGGCCGCCCCTCCCCTGCCCCTCCGCCTCCCCCCACGGTCCTCCTCTTCCCGCTGCAATGTCGCCGCCTGGAGATCCTCCTCCTCCCTGCACGGCCCGCCTCCTCTCCCTCCACTCCCCCACTCCGCCGGCGACCCTCCTCCCCCGCTTCCTCGATCCTCCTCCGCCTGCGAGTCCCCACTCAGCGCCCCCACTGTCCGTCCCCGCCCGGCGGAGCTCGCTGGACCGAGGGAGCGGGAGCGACCGAGGCTGCGCCGTGACCCGGGGCGCGGGAAGGAACCCGCCGCCGTCCGGGCAGCCAGGGGCCCGGCAGCTGCTGTCTGGGGAGGGACGGCAGGGACAGTGTGTGGTTTGGGAAAGTAGCCGCCTCCTGCCCCGTCTTAGTCCGCGATCCCGCTGTGCTGCCCCCTCCGCCCCCTGCTCCCCTGAGCCCCCATTTACCGAGACCGTCCTTCTCCTAGGATTTCTCTAGAATCGAAAAAATAATTAAAAGTCGCACTACCACCACCCTTACCTCCCGTCCCCCAAACTCCTAGCGACTGTTTTTGTCCTTTAGCCCTAGGTTGGGTTAAATACATTCCCGGGGAGCCATCTGGTCTGATTCCCGGCAGCCCTTCGTATGGTTTCCATTAAGCTCGCCAAAACCGTGCATTGAAAATGCAGCCCCGGAGCCGCTCGGGAGCCGCCAGGACTCTTACCCTGACCAGCCGCGTCGGAGAATCCCAGGCAGAGGGAGGTAAAGGCCTCTGTTTAGGTTCTGAGTCTAGTACCTAAAGATCCAGGTCTGAGGCTGTAATTACTACGCTTTGCTACTCCAACTGTCCAAGAGAAAATACGGTTCTCTGTGGCAATGGTTATCACTCATTCATTATTTTTTTTTTTACTGTATGCAAACCATAGCTTATTAGAATCCTGTTTTAATTCTAAAAAGCAATGTTAACAGCTTTACAAAAATAACCTGGCCACAAAAATTCAATTTGACCGGGAGCATTGGTATGATCGGGTCTGCCTCTTCTCCCTTGCTGTCCCCATTCCTTAACCCCCAAAGGCAAAGAACAAATGTTAACTTGTGGAAAAATATTCCCTTACTCATGGGGTAGGGTTTGTCGCTCAAGAAAAAGGGAAGTGGCAGGTTCATAGAATCACAGTGTTGTACCTGGAGCGTTGCTTAGAATTCATCAAAGATAAGTCCGTGGGTTTATTGGGGAGACTCAGAAAGTGGAGGGCAAAGGGAAGGTCACACAACTTGTGAGTACAGCAGTGACTCTTTAAGTTACTCGGCCTACTTTGGGGATGGGAGGGTGGGGAGGAGACATGGCATCAAGTGCTTTATCATATACAGCAAAAAGGACTTTGGTCAAACTCTCATTGGTGGCTAGTACGCACTGCCTCCTGCCCTTCACCTGCAGTTCCAGCTCTGTTTTGTTCTAAGTCTTGCCTGTTTGGGGAGTTCCAGCCCTTTCTTCCTTCCCCTAACCCCCCTTCTTTCTTTTCCTTTGCTTTTCTGCCTATCTCCTCACCCCCTCCCTGACTGTGTGATTTTTATTTGGGTTTTTTAAAATGAAACCAGGTGCTGCATAAAACAAAAGCAAAGTAATAACAAGGAAAGACTATCCAACGCTTAAGGAATGTGCTGAGTTTTATGACTCAGGCTGTCCTGGCAAAGAACTTGGACTGACATGGAGAGGTGGGTGGCACAGAGCACAGACCATACATGGCAGCCCTGGCCTCCCCAGATAGGCACGGTCAAGGCAGCCTGTGACTCATTTCACAAAAGCAGAGACTCTTGTTCTTTGTGGAACAAGACTTCCTGAAGGCTGGAGCTAAAGGATTGTCAACTTTTCCCATCGAGGCCAGTTCAGTCTGATGGAGCAGGGGCCACCCCAGGGGTTTGGAGGGGAAGGGAGCCCAGGCAAAAGGCCATCCCTGGGAAAGAAGCAGGCTTGATGGACTTGGGCGAGGGCTTTGGTACATTTTAGGGGATGAATAACATGGAAGCTGCAAGGAGACATGAAAATTAGCACATACTGTAGTGGAGACAATGATTTGGGAGTTCTAGGTCGCAGCAAGATTGCAGCAGTGCCTTGGAGGGTCCTGGGCACCCAAGGGGTGTTTGCTCTTTGCAGCAGTGTGTTGAACACAGGAGAAGCTCCTCAGAAGCTGGGGGGATTCCGAGGTGCCATTCCTAATGCAATCAGGAGTAGCAGCTAAGGGCACAAGTGGTGGACTTCATTGCATAAACACTCACAGAGACACCCAGGCACACATCCTCACATATTGCAGATTCTTTTCAAATGAGCATGATAATGGGGTGAGGTGTACATTTTTTCTGTTACTAGGAGTCAGGCTGAGAGAGCGCGAGTGCTAAGGAGAATGTCTCTCCTAGCAGAGGTGGGGGGAGGAGTCGGAATTTGGGTGACAAGGATCTGTTTGTGCTCCCTTCATTACACAGGCCGGGGACTGGGGGACTGATAGTGATCCTTCTGGTTTCTGCCACTCCAGAGAAAGCTGTCACTTTCTGAATGAGAATGAACCTTGACTGGCATAAATGAGAGCTCCATGCGGCAGCCTCGTGGATGCGGGCTTGTTTTTCCTTTTCTTCTTTCTGTTTTTCTTTTCCTCTTTCTGTTTTTCTTTTCCTTTCCATGGAATACCCATTGAAAAGCTATGGCAACTATTCCATATTTGCAGGAAAAGCCCTGCTTAATTTTTTCATTAAAGTCTACTGACCTAGAAAAATAAAGTCTTTTAAGGACGACTTCCTAAATATTTATAATGTGAGCAGGCGTCATCTGGGTTCTGTGGGAGAATGGGCTCATTCAGTTTTATTTATGATGTGACACCTGGGTGAGTGACATCCGTCATCTGGGTCGGCCCTACACCCTGTTCCACGGCAGCATGTTTATGGAGTGATTATGCCTGTAAATATTTGCTATATTTAGCCCCCCTCTCCTCCCCTAACTCCCTCTTAGCCTCCTTAAGTCCCCAAACCAGCAAAAAGCCAAATTTACGGTCTAGGAAGATTTGAACCCTAATGACCAGTCACAGGAGCTTGAGCATGTGCCGTAGCAGCATTTGACGAGTTGGGAGGCAATTAGAGTGGTAAGGCTGCCTGTTGTTATGACATTCCTATATGAAGGCAGTTTTGTTGGGCCTGTGTCTAGCAGGTGAGGGCTCTCTGCTGGACGTGAGAGGTTTTAACAAGGGATGAGCACAGCCCTGAGTGAAGAATGCAGAGGGATGCTTAGGAAACTCTGCTTTGCAGGGAGTGTTCTCTGGACAGGATCTCGCAGGCCCTCAGACCTGTCTCCGTGTACCCCGGGAGATAAGACCTGGTGGGGGCTCTGTGACCTCAGCTGGGTCAAGGTCTGTGGTGTGACCCGAGGCCCTCCCCTCTCAGCCACACCTGGATCCTGGCTGCGGAGGAGGGAGGGCCCCTCCTGGCTTCCTGGCTTTAGAGCTGCACCTGCCCTGACCTAGGCATTTCAGGCTGTATTTAGGCCAACTTTAGGACTCAATATTTGCCTCCGATCAGCTTGGGCACCTATTGTTTCTACCAGGAAGGGCCAGGTCCTGGCACGGGGGCCTGAAGCATTGCCAGTGATTTATTTTTAGAGACAGGAAAATGTCTGCTTTTTGGCAGCTGCTCTTTTTCTGGCACACACCCAGGGATGGCGTAAAAAAGTTGAGGTGAGAGATTCCAAGCCCTAAATTCATGGCCTCTGACATAGGCAATGGCACCAATGGGCCTCTCTAGAGAAGCCTTTGGGGAGCCTAAGATCTGTCATTAGAAGGTCTCCTGGGCAGAGCGGTGGCCCTCCTGCCACACCCTGGCAGCCAGAGTCCTCCAGTCTACAAAACTCAGAGCCTGGACATACCATGGAGTGCATCAGCTGTTCTGAAATATTATTGTTCCTACCTCCACTCATCTCCTTGTCTACCAATCCATGATCTAGTCCAACGTAGTGGGCAGAGTAAGAAAAAAAAATCAGTCTACGAAATCTCATGTCCGTCAATGCTCTTTAGACCCACTGACATTGTCATCATGATGGTTGTAGAAGGCAGCCAGTTTCCATGGCAAGAAGTATATTATTAGACTTAGAGATTGCATCTCCAGGTTATATTGGAATTAATATTTGTCCTAACATGGTTTCTTCTTAAAATAATACTTTTGTAGGTCCTGTGATTCTAGCTACTGACAATTTATCTGCAAGCATTTTGTAAACTGTAATGAGATATCATGCAAAGGTAAAATGGGGTGGAAATAAAGGTAAGGAATTAAATTTTAAGTGTTTCCTACCTTCTTTTCTCCCCAACCTTTGAAAAAAGATTACAATTACTTTCTAATTATAAAAATAAAACATGAATACATTCCCCTTACTGCTGATAGCCCATGATTACCTTTTGTATACATTTTTCTTCTTGCTGGAGTATATCCT